GCTTCCTTTTCTTTCAACAGGATGCAGAATGCTCAGACACATGCCTCCTTTCTCCCCCAACCCCATTCTTTTTCTTTGCCAATGAACCACACGACAGCCGCCTCGACTCACCTTGGTTTCTTTGGCTCCTGACCACAGAGACTGGAGGAGCCAGGCTTTCCTCCTGCTCCTCTCACCCAGAGTCTGTGCTCCCCACGGAGCAAGACAGCTTCAGAGCACACACCCGAGATGCCGAGAGGGAAGACATTAATGTAAAACGGCCACAGGAAAGTGTCTTCCTTTCCGCCCCTTCAGCTCTTGGCGAGCCGCAATGGAGAACTCGGATTTCCAGAGCATCTCTCGGTAAGAAACATGGCAATATGTGTCACACACGTGCACCCAGAGAGTCTTGGATTTCTGTTTTCAGGTTTTACAGAGAGCTCCCTGGCTGTTCTTGATAGAAGCTTTGAAATATCCTGGTGATGGACATCACCGTGTTCTTTCTTCGGAGAGGGCCAAGAAAATGGGAGTGAACGTTTTGAGGGGACTGTTAAGAAGTTCATTATTTCGAGGCAGAGCGTAGGAAAATGAACTCTGTTTCCAGGTTTGTCCTTGTAGATGGCCAAACGTTCTTGCAATGGCATTGACACAGAGGAGGGGACAGGACAAAAATGCAGTGACCCACAGGTCACCTCTGGAAACAGTGCTCAGTGACCTAGGACCCCGACTCTTCTCAGCCTGATTCGCTGAACTGTGCAGACGGGAAAGTGTCCCAGTCCTTAAAAATATGACGAAGTCAGAAATAGCCAGTCACTAGGGCTTCTACCTCTGGGCCTGTATTTCCCATCTTCTGAATCCCGAGCTTTTATCTGGCTCTCCCACTTGACTTTCTGGGAGGACCTAAGTGAAAGGGTGTGGACCCAGCACAGAAGCAGGAGTGATGCTTGGGGCTTTGCTAAGTGACCCAGTGAGCTGATCTGCATGAACCAGGGAGAGATGACAGTGACCAAAACCTCATCTTGGGCACCTACTCTGATACGACCCCGGTGACAGGAGGTGAAAGAGCAGCGTGGTGGCTCTCCGCGTGGCTTCATTTCTGGGGGAGGGAGGGTTTTTTAACTTGGCAGAATGAACAGTCAGTTCTAGAGCAGGTCCAGCTGGGGAGGAGGAGGGCTGCCGAACGTCAGAGCTTGCACCTTTGATCTCCTGTGCGAAGTGGAAGTAGGTTTACTCTGCTCGTTCCTGTGAAATAAGAACTCATTATGCTTTTTTTTTCTTTCTTTCTTAGGATACGTAATAGATACAGTTCAGCACTGCTGAAAGAGCTCATGAGTTGACTGGGGTTAAATGTGATGCTAATAACAACAGCTGTTAGGTTCTTACACGTCAAGCACTGTTCTGAATAGATTTACAGGTACTAATGCACTTACTCGGTGTGCCTGCGAAGGCCTGACGTCTGGAAAGAGGGGGCGTCATGTCAGACTGGACACACTCACGTGTCCTCTGTGCTACCACATTCAGTGTGACTGAGTGCTACCCCACTGTTAGGGACACCCCTCAGATCGTGTCCCTAAAACTCATGGGCCTGGGGCTTTGAGGCTCTTGCAAAGGGCAAAAGGCAAGACACACCAGGACCAGAAAGACCCTAATCCACCCATTTCAACCTTTGCAAATGCTCTGGAAATAATGGGGCTCCCAAGAGGATCAGCTTTGCTCAAACACTGTCAGCAGAACCCTCAGAGAAGTCCCCTCAGGTGCCATTTCAGAGACAGAGTAACAGTTCTTCAGCTGGTGGAAGTCTTAAAAAAAATCCTTCCACAAAAGGGGACCTGAAAATGTTCCTCTTCCTCCGGAAGGTTTTTCTGTGTATAAATTTACTGATATAACCTGCCATTTCTAGCTCTTTTAAAAAAGTTAAATGGAGCCATAAAGTGGCTGATGAAGTAGGTCAAAAGCAGCTCTTTCAAAGAGCATCTCTGGGGCGTGGGGGAGGGCGGAGCTCAGTGGCAGAGCACCTGCCCAGCACGCACAAGGTCCTGGGTTCAACCCCCAGCGCCTCCATCAAATACATAATTAAATAAATAAACCTAATTACCTCCCCCACCAAAAAACCAACCAACCAACCAACCAAGAGCATCGCTGGGAAAAATGAGAGCGCTTAGAACACTTGGACTCAACCCTTCAGGGGGCAGCACGTTGCTGAAATCTGGACGTGGAGAGAGACGTCAGGTGGAAACAAACAATGACTTATCAGAGATACTGAGCAACGTCAGGAAACGAATGATGCCCATTTCCAATTAAATTCCAGATCCTCCTCGGACAAATGACAGAAGTATGACAGGTACCTAGGATGATATATATGACCGCAGCAGGAGTTAAAAATGTACTCCTTATTAGTACGAACACATTCATTTGTGTAAAAATCAACTCTATAAGCAAATTCAAGGGAAAAAATGCAATCCCCCCGAACAGGAGCTCCAGCCGTGAACCATCGAGATAACGTCTTTCGATTTGTTTGGAGCAATTTCGAAGGACTGGAGTGGCGGGGAGAAGGAATTACATCTGGGTGTTTGTCAACCCGCGAATGAAGCTTTTTCTGACCCCCACAGTTGGAAGTGTTCTCTGCATCTTGTGGGCCATCTCAGTCCTCTGTAGTTCCTGACCACAGCGCTTATCATGCTCTGAGTTAATTACTGGTCACCAATCACCGTCTCCCATGAGACCTTAGTAATGACGGGATCTGAGTCACCACTGAATCTCCCGTGATTATCATGATGTTTACTCCATTGGAGATACACAGTGAATATCTACCCAATGGACATTCTCTCACTCACCAGGTTACATGTTCTCTGAGAGAGGAACTGGTCATAATCGGTTTTTCATTACTCACAGTGCCTGTAATAAACAGTCTTCAAAGACGGTCACCATCAGTTCCTCCCTCCCTATAGGCACGTGCCTCTCATCCCATCACTTTATTTTCCTTCCCCTGGACTGGCCTGGTGACTTGCCTTTTTTAAAAAAAACTTAAAAAAAAATTTATATTTACAAAAGATTATAAAATAGTACTTAGAATTCCCATATATCGCTCCTCCAGTTTCCAGTGACATCAACATTTTATATAACCAATGTGAAATTATCTAAGCCCGAAAATTAACATCGATACAATACTGTTAATTAATATGCAAAAATTAGTCAAATTTTACCAGCTGCCTCACTTTGGTTGGCAGAATTCTGCTGGTGGTCCGCAAGAGTCCCAGCCCCTGATACACACACACTGTCTCCAGTTATTCAATCAAACACTAATCTAAGTGCTGCTGTCGAAGGATTTTTTAGCTGTAATAAAGGTCCAAAATCAGCTGACCTTAAGATAGGAAGATTATCTGGGTAGGTCTGATCTAGTCACATGAGTCCTTATAAATATGGGTCTAGAGGTCAAAAACATTAGGCTAAAGGTTTTTAGCACAAAAGGGATTTGATGTGAGAGAACTTTCTAAAAGCGATGCACTTGGACCAACAGAAGGTGGCAGACGCGAAGCCTTGAAGAGGTTTAGCATTGTCCTCTTTTGCTCCTAGAAATCAGCCACCATGAAAGGGTTCTGACCACTGTCCCTGAGGGACCCTATGACATCGCGTGCCCATTATCCTCAGAGAGAGGGGAGCCACCTGGAGGCGCACAAAGACACCAGACATGTGAGTGAAGCTTCCCCGGACCTCCGGGCCACCCCTGCAGGCACGTGACTGCACCTGGGTGAGCGACACAGGCCAGTGCACCACGGGGCAGGAGCACCGCCCAGCTGAACCTCACGCACATTTCCAACCCACATAAACCCATGTTGTTTTATTCCCCTGTTGTGAGCTGGTTTGCTGTACACAATGCATAAGCAAAGGTCTAACTCAGAGAGGGATCTCAGTATTTGTTAAATACAGCTTCATGGATAGTTTTCACAGCATCTTGGCTGACTGAAATGGCAAATAATACATGCTACAGTTTATTAATTATTTTTTTCTGTTGAAAGAAGACAACTGAAAACCTGCTTTTGATGAAAATTCTTCTAAAATTCTAAAATTCGTCTAAAACTGGCCACCAGTTGTCACTTCAGGAACACTGTATGTTCCTTTGGATGAGGAGGTGCTGTGTCAAGGTCATCATTCAGACCAGACTCGATGGCAATTTCCTTACCATCCTCAGCTGAAGCCGAGGACACTGATGGTCAGAAATTGTCACGTTCCCATACTGGGGAAACAGTGTAAACTTAGAAGAAGTTTGTTGCTGAGGGTTTTGCCCGGTAGACAGCCTCTAAGCGGCACCCCCTGCTGCACGGCTTCGTGCTGCCCCTTCCCACAGGGTACCGAGGTCGGTCTGTGGCCACACAGCGTGGAGCAGAGGGGACTGTGCACCACTTCCGAGATTAGATTATAAAACAAAAGCGTCTGTTCTCTCTCTGTCTCTGTCTCTGTCACTCACTCTGGGGAAAAGCCAACTGCCACAGAGTGAGGCAGCCCTCCGTGGACCCCACGTGACAAGGAACTAAAGCTTCCAGCCAACAGCAAGTGAGAACTGAGGCCAAGAACCACGTGAGTGAGTTTGGAAGCGGATTCTCCAGCCTCAGGATAGCCTAGAGATGACTGCGGCCCCGGCCAACAGCTTCCTGACATCCCCGAACCATGCCGTTTACCCAGGTTCCTACCCTCAGAAACTGTGAAATATTAAGTATTTCTTGTTTTTGGCTTTATTTTGAATAGATTAGACTAGCTTCCGTTTGGGGTGATTTGTGACACGGCAATAGATAACAAATCTGGTTGCCTGTTAGCGGGCGGCAGAAAGTCATTTTTAACATGTGACTTTCAGTTTTGACCCTCGACGTTATAATTTCCATCGGTTAGCTGCGCTCTCCGTTACGTGTGATAACCCGGGCAGCCCTGTGTGGGGGCTTTATGCAACACCGAGGTGGTGGTGCCTGCCTCATGTTAGCCTCTTTGTGGGCGTTCAGGGTGGAAATGCCAGCGGTGATGGGAGAGTCCGCGGTGGGAGGCTGTGGAACGCAAATACTGATGAGAAACTTCTGAGAAGACCCTCCAGAATAGCCTCCACATTCACGGTGTGTTCTAGACCCCGTGGTTCTCAAGGACGATGGGAGTAATTTTTCCCTCTATGGAATATTTGGCAATGTCTCGAGACATTTTTGCTTCTCATAACTGGGGCGGCATGGGGGACAGTCCACTTCCGGTGAGTGGAGGGAGTAGTGGCCAGGGATGGGGTGGGACCGGAGTGGTGCCCAGGACAGCCCACAGCAAGGAACGGTTCACCCACAGCATCATTAGCGCTGCTGCTGAGAAACACTGAAGGGAGAGCAGGTGCCTGATTCCACCTCTGTGTCTTTTTTTATTTTTTTACACTATGTAAGTTTAAGGGAGGAGGGAAGTAGGCTTACTGAGCTATAGTATGACCAGATAAAGCCTCCAAGCCTAGATAAAGCCTCTAGGTGTACCCCCTGAACCTTTTTTTAATGGAAATGTGACATCCTTGTTTTGACTTCTTGCAATAAGTGTGTTTCTGAAGTGGAGGGAGCCAAGCATCCCAGTTAATGGAGGGATCTGAGCTGCGCTTCACAATGGCAGTCATATTAAGGGCATTAGTCAAATTGCAGGAAAAAAAAATCAGCCCTCAATGTAATCAGAGCTCAGGTGGTGACACTGGCCAGACCACATGTGCCTTCGGGGCCACAGCTGACTCTGTAGAGGAAGGGGCTTTGCTGAGATCATGTCTGAGACCCTTATGTCAAGTTCCTTCTTTTAGAGTCATACTGTGGATGCACAGAGAATGCCCTAAGTCTAGACAAAAGTGATGGAGTGGTTTGACCGATACCGCTTAAAGGGGAAAGACACATTTAAACGAGGAGTTAGGAGTGTCCCTTTGGGGATCTAGTGGTCCAGGACTGTGGAGAAGTAGAATGCTTGCAGAGTTAGCAGATGTGAAGGGGCGAGTCCACACACTCCTCGGCGCACCTCCCTGTCTCTCTGATGTCTGCACCTGTGGGTGTCTGCCCTGAGAAGACTCGAGGTGCGATGGAGGTGGAGGTGTTCAGCATGGGAAGGGCCTCAGGGCAGAGCTAGCAGAACCCAGCTGACCCCTCGGTCAGCCCCTGCCCGGTGTTCTCCCTCCACCGTCCCCCGCCACCAAAAACCTACAGGGACAGATGTCATCGGGTCTTTGCTACAACGTGGCATGTTTGAGGGGGACCTCAGGACCTGAAAAGCAGGGTAAGTCCGTGTGTAGAACGTGAATCAACATTTGCATTTCTGTCCAATTGTTCTGACAAGGTTAAAATGAGGTCCCAAAAAACTCACCAACAAGCTTCCCAGTGGAAAAAGTTACCTCGCCAAAGGAAATAATATTTCAAAGCATTGAATGGAAGAACATTTAAAGGTCATAAGATAGAATTTAAGCCCAGAGGATGACTTTTTCTTGGCCCTACTTGCCAACTCTATAGACCTAAACAAGTTACACCTAGAAGATACGCAAAGGGAAGAGCATCTGGCAACCAGACTTCCGTACCAGTCTGTTGATTTTACTCAACTATCAGAACGTGGCCAGGCTCCCGGGTCCGCCCGCTCCTTTCCATGTCCACCTTCACCATTTCAACCCAGTTTAAAGAGTCATCTGCCTAGTAAGCCTTTTTAAGATTTGTTCTAGTCCATTCTTTTTTTTTTTAAGGGAGGGTGAATAATTAGGTTTCTTTATTTTTTTAGTGGAGACACTAGGGGTTGAACCCAGGACCTCGTGCGTGCTAGGCACGTGCTCTAGCAGAGCTTTACCTCCCCCCACCCCCCGTTCTAGTCCATTCTGTTTATAACTGATTACCTGTTTGCTGTGCTCAGGAGTCAAGGCCTGACTTTATTTTGCCATCAACAGCATTGTTGAGGATCTTTGTTAAGCTCTGGGCAGAGAGAGAGGATTGGAACAAGGTACTCGAGGAGACATCAGGGAACCGGAAATCCAGCTGGGAAGGCAAGACACATACAAAATTGCTGCAGAGTGACTCATGGTACCACGTAAGTCATGCCCGTGCTGTTGGAGTTCGGAGGAGGGAATGAGCCTTGTGATCTGGTGTGTTTAGGAAAATAATTCTGTAGGAAAAAAAAAATCTTCAAAAAAGAGTGAGACTTAAATAAGTGGAAGCAGGAAGGGTTTCACGTGCACAGGTGAGCAAGCCATGGAGGCAGGACAGCCATGATGTTTTTGGATGGAGAGACCTTGAGTAAACACGTTTAGTTAAATACAGCATTTGAGTAGTGAAAGGGCGGCTGTGTTGGCACTCGGTTGGAAGACTGGAGAAGAGCAGATTTTAGGGGGCAGTTGGAGGCTTTGGAGCTCAAGAGGGTAGTTTTTTGGAGGGCACTGGGATGCCATGCTAGTCTTTCCAACAGAGAAGTGGCTTGCCCGGTGCTGCACTTGGAAGATGGCCCTGGGGGGTGTGGCAGAAGACATGGGAGTGTGGGAGGACTGGAGCCAGAGGGACTGACTCTCATGATCTGACTGTGAGTCAGGAGGGGCCTGGAGGAGATGGCCATCTTCCGCGTTGCTTTATGCGTATTGTTCCATATATCTGTGCCGTCTCAGCCTAACCGGATTATAAATGCCCTGTAAACCAGGAATACATTCCCCTAGTTTTATAGCGTGTCCCTTCTTGCCTATCCAGTGCCCAGAATTAATTGGCAGTGAGTAAATGTTACTGTTATTATTACTCTATAAATTGTTATCAGACTTAGCTGCTCCAAATAGGTTATAAACACACAGTATCAGTGTGGACAGTCATGTAAGAACTTGTGATATACAATGTATTCTCCAGATAATGCAATCTCCAGGGCCGAGGGCACAGAGTCATTTAGCTCAGATCAGCCGTATTCCGCCTGTGAATCCTGAGAGTCTGTTGGAAGGTGGAATCTGGAGAAGCCACGGCCATGCTTTAAGAGCTCTAGAAACTTCCCACCTCATCAGGCTTCCAGATTCACCCTTCTCTGGAAGATGTATTTGCACAAGGTCACGGTGGTGGTTCCAGTTAGCACATGGGAGACATTGACGCTAAGTCGGAGACACTCTGAGGCCATCTGTCTGCCTGCTCCATGGAAAGGATCAGGCTCTACTGCAGATCGAGGCTGAGCCCATATGCCTGTCTGCAAAACGGTAAACTGCAGTCAATTACAGGATTCTCCTTGGTCCGTTTAGTCACGGCCAATTAAAATGGCTGTAGCAATTTCCGGGAGCCCTGAATTCTAGGTTGCCTTGTTCGGCTGTTTAACACTGTACTGTCCAAGATAGATCGGGCATTCCTTAAGGACGGAGTTTGTGTCTTGCCTTTCTTTTGTGTTCTGCTAAGCCCCTGGCTCAGATTAGGATGATGAGTTAGTGCTCAGTAAACACTGGTTGAATTGATCTATTGAGAAAGGTCTCTCTCAGAAATCTCTCGGCTACTCTATCAGACTCCTTCTTCAGTGGTGAAGACGCAGTGCTGGCTCTAGTCAAAAAAGCTTGAAGACATGCTGGAGGTCATTCTCTGTGGCTTAAAGGTTAAAAAGTGGCAGAAAGAAAGAGCACGGATGGAAATGTCCAGCTGTTCATGTCCACCCGTGGCATTGGTGAAGCCGTGTCCTGTGGCCAATTCCTGGAACTGACAGTTGTTACCTTCCCCTCCCCAGCATTGGTGGAGCCCCAGAATCTTTCTCAAGCATCACCTTAGACTAGATAGCTCCTGGAAGTAAAACCAAAATGATGCAAAAATAAAATCAGTTTACCATTTCATGACCTTTGAAGCAATATCCAGTTGCATCTTGGAGAAACTTCCTGTAAGACTGTGAGGGCAGCATTAACGTGGACAGTAAGTGCTAATGAGAGGAAACCTTTACTGGGTAGTTAAATGATCCTTTCCTACATCCATTTCTCCTCCAAAGACGAGTTTATTCCAGTCATGCTGACTCTATTCTACTTGCAGTGATAATTTTAGAATGGGCTTGTGACCCAGTTCTAGCCAATGGGATGAGAACAGTCGACTGGAAGCTTCTGGAAAGTTTACCTTGCCCTTTCTTACTGAATATGCACGAGAAATAATGTAGTCCTAGTTGTCATAGGGAGCCAAAATGTGACCAGGAGAGGAAGCAGCTTTGGGATGAATCAATGCCAAGAACAGCATACGGCAGGGGGAGAGAACCTAGGTTTTTGACAGTCCATCAAGTTGTCAATCATTTTGTGCTGGAAGCCTGCTCTCCTGGATTCCAGCCTGTACGAGACACACATTTACTGATTGTTTTAGCCAGTTTGAGTTACTATTTCTGTTGTTTGCAGCCACAGTACCTCTGGGCAGGGGAATATCTTAACTTTACGGCGATTATCTCGATGAATCCTCTTGGTAACTCTGTAAGATTGTCACCACCTTTATCCCCATGTCTCAGCGGAGGACACTGAGAATTAGACGGCTTACGCACATTTCCTAAAGTCATGGAGCACTTATGCTTGGAGATGTCGTTTGTACTCAGGAACCCACTCTCTTAAACATTATGCTAGAGTCAAGCTGTCTGTCAATTTATTCCTTGGGGGGAAAAAACAAGAAAAAAATGTACAGGCTGGGCATGTTTGAATTTCTAGGAAGTCTTTTTTTAACACAGTAAAGGAAAAGGGATTATGTGTCTGTACCAAGTTGAAGACATAACCAAGGAACTGATGCCACCCATGACTTAGACGTCTACGCACAGAAAGTATTTCATTTGGCTTCCTTCCTCCTCTCAGGCCGGGGCTGTATTTGAGAAGGAAGCAAAATTTCACCATCGTAAATCAGAGGTCCCGCTCCAAGCTCCACATGGATTGTCTCAGCCTCATGGAAGGTGGAGCTGGGATGCTGGAAAGATAAAGCCCTTTGGGTTGGGTTAGTGAGTCATTGTGTTGAATGAATTTGCGAGCGGATGTCCCTCCCAGGGCTGCCACACTTGACAAATACTGCTCAGGACCACGGTTCCCACTGTGCACAGACGCTCCTGGAGGGGCCGGTGCAGCCTGGAGCCATTCCAGGATTCCACGTGGTCCGAGTTCTAATTTCCCCGGGGTCAGCCTTTCCTTTTGTTGGACAGTATCCTCCCCTAGAATTCATAAAAGCCTTTCTCTTCTTCAGTATATATATATATATATGGATTCCCACCCCCACCCCCCTTTTTTCACTTAAGATCCTGGATGAAGTTCAAAAACATTTAAAGTTGAGGTTCACTTGTGATTTTTTTCAAGGCATACCTTCCTTTTGTGTATCGATCACGTTAACCAGCTGGAAGCCTCCTTTGGCCAAAGGATGTTCTCAGATGAACAAAGTTTCTCTTGAGTTACGGCCCGTCATCCAAACTTGATGTGATCTTTAGATGAAATGTAATGAACAATTTAGCGAGAGCTTCCTGAACATATCTTTCATGTTGTACCCAAATGTGTGTCTGGGTCTGTGTGTGTTGACTGGAAATCACATGTGATTTCAAGGTTCATCATTGGATGTTTCCTCTCCAAACATTACCAAATGGGCTCTAAGCACTTTGATAAGCATTTTGAGACAGCCTGTGTGAGAATACTGTTGACATATTTTGCAGATTTCCAGTAATGTGCTATAGATACTAATGTGGACTCGGTGAGTTGCGGGGTGGGTGCTGTGAGTGAAGTTTTTCTCAATCTGTAAACTCTGCCTCTTTACAAAAATTTCAAACATAACTCTCATTCGAAAACTACAAACTTTCAAAACTTAGATGACAAGAGTTTCTCAAGGGAACTGACTTCACTGTGAGAGGAATTTAGACTTTTTATTTTGGGGAACCTTAACCTTTCTACACCAAGTGCTGACAATTAATATAGAGACTAGACTTTGAGATTTTCGGTTCTGGAAATAAAAGCCTGGCTGAGTTATTAGATACTCGAGGATTTACTTCTCATGATGCTGAATCGCCGTTGGTTTTACATTTCTACAGTATGCTCATCACGTTGAATTGTTTCTGCACGTGTGTGTGCTATATATTCTGAAAAGGTGACAAAACCAGACATGATGGAAACACCAAAGACCTAAACAAACTGCTGGTGTCCATTGTTCTCTCCAATAAATGGCTCTTCCTCCCTCCTCTTATGCACTTAGTTTTATTTCTCTTCTGTGTGTTCCTCATACTTCCTTCACCTTTCGAGGGATGGAAAGTAACCTGTTTCTCTTTCTTTCTCTTATAGGGCCCACATTATCTTCTTTTACCTTTTCTTCTTTGTTTGCGTGGGACGGAGTGAGGGTTGGGATTGAATTTTAATTTCTAACAGTACTTTCTTTATCTCTGAGTTTTCCTTTTTCATGGAAACCTATTTTGGCTTTCTGGTTGCCACCTCATTTCAAATCTCTCTGAGAATGTTAATAAAAATTTTTTTCCTTTTGTCGAGGGGAGGGTACAGCTCAGTGGTAGAGCGCATGCTTAGCATGGACAATGTCCTGGGTTCAGTCCCCAGTACCTCCATTAAATAAATAAGTAAATAAATAAACCTAATTACCTCCCCCACCAAAAAAAAAGGTTTTCCTTTAAAAACAATGATCCTCTTTTTCCTAATTATTTCTGTTTTCTCTGGTGTCATTTTTCTTCTGTGTTGACCTCTGTCGTGCTACAAGTTCCCTCTGGCTGTAGGGTGACCCTTAATAGTCTGCTCACGGTTACGAGTGGGTGCGTGGTGACCTGGCTGCTCATCCTCTGGGCAGGGGTGACTGTCTGCTAAGACTCCATTTTAGGGGAACATGTGGAGAGCGGCCCAGGACATTAAAATGCCAGATTTCACAATGCTTTGCTCTTGGGCATCAGTGTCCACATGAGCGGTCCTGGTCTTCCCCAGAGAGGACTTGTATTGTTTTGGAAGCCTGCTATTTTTCGCCTGCAAGACACGCACTGTGTTGGGCATGACTCTATTTGTAGGTGTGTGGATGGGTGAATGTCATAAAGTCACTGTTGCTTATACAGACTTCCACTTAGACCCATTGTTTCACACTCTTTTTAAGGATATCCTTGCC